TTTTGGTTTTTTGATCCTTATTTGTTTTTTTTGATCCCTCACCCTTACAAAGAGGGGTAACACTAAGCAAAGGAATCGCGGTCGATGCAGTGCTTGCAGGCGGTGTACTACAAGCTGTGGGCGTCCACGGCAGCGTGGACCCAGCGAAGCAACTATGGCTGGTACCAGGCACGCCCAGCGACAAGGGAGGATTTGTGCAGTTCAGTGCTGCTGCTTCAGTCACATCACCGACTGCAGCAGAAGCAAGGATTATCACAACGGTGACTGCGCCGCTCATTGTTGTCGAACGGTTCATGCAGGGGGAGGGTAAAGAAGTACTGGTGAGCTTTGAGCAGTTTGCACGGATCATTGAAACAGTGTGACGTTTTCCAGGTTTGGTCTCGCATGGCTCCGTGGGCCGCATATGCTGGCGTCCCAGACATGGCATCAGAGTCTACGTGTGGCCTTTTGAGATGACGTTGGAGTTGATAATATCAAACATGACGACGGGCCCCTACGCCCCATATCACGTTCTAGAAAGTAGGCCCGCCCTCTCATGTAAACATACATGTCCCCACAGCTAGTTGCAGCTAGTGACCTTGAGAAAGGATGAAGACTGTTTCTTGCATATTGAGGTGGCCGCGCCAACGGCTGCCTGGTACAGCTTTGGTCTGCTGCTCAGCAAGGGACTCTGGCGAGAGGTACCGCTATTTTGCAGCAACTGATGTCTGCAGCTTTGATACTCCCGTGTACATGAGCAAAGCTGTGTTCCAGGACGGTAAGGTGGCACTAGTGGCAGAGGCTACTTTTGGAAAATGCAGTTTGCGCAGAATTGAATGGTTCGGGGCCCATCTAGCCATTGGAGGGAATGGAGCTGGGGGCACAGGTGTGGGAGTGGAAGGTTAACAGACATCAGCCAGCGCAGTTTGCAGGGGGCGGTGAGGAAAAGGGGTATGGTAGGGGCGGCAACGGCTTTCTTTCCGATTTATCTGGAATATTTGTCTCTGTTTTGTGGTGTTCAGCGTTCATCGAGAAAGAAAGAAGAAGGACCGCCAGAGCGAAACAAGGAACACAGCCAGAAACACATCAATAAAGAAAGAACGATGGAAGGAATAAAAGAAAGACAACAGCAACAAAGAAGGAAAGGATGGAGAAAGAAGGAGCGAACGAATGACACAAGGAAAGGAAGAACTGCATGCACAAAGAAGCAACGCAGGAGGACGTCACGCAAGAAGGAAAATTAGATACTCCACCCCATACCCTCCTGACACATAAACCCTATATGCGTGCAGCCTTGACCCTCAACCTTTCGAACTAAAAAACACTTTAATTACCCTGAACCATCCACCCACCAAACCCTGAAATAGTGGACCTGAAAACCCTCAACCTGCAAGCCCACAAACCCCTTGATGCCTAAGCCCTGAAACCCCCAAACACCAAGCCATGCAACCCTCAATCCGTAAACTCTAGGTCACTTAACCCGTAAACGCCCAAACCCTAAGCCCCTATACTTCTGCGCCGTTGAAACCTGTATCGGCTTGCTCGAACGATCTGGAGGCTTGTAAGGAGTTCTTTACGATGCAACTCAGTCAGGTTCTAAGTCTTACAGGAGCCCTCATCATTGGATCATGTGAAGGCCTGCATCATCACAAAGAATATTTTCCACAACCAAAGAAAAACCTGGCTATTCGGAAACGGGTCGGGGTCGCGATCGACATGTGCTCCACCCCCCACTCGCTCCTTCTCATTCACTTATTGCCTCCTCATCTCCGCTGACCCCGTTCACTCCATTCGCGCACTCTCACCCAATCCTTCACTCATTTTCTCATGCACTCATTCACTCACTTCCTTGCCTACTCACTCGCGGCATTCAGTCACGTCGTCTCGATCTCATGCATCCGCTGCCTCACCCCGGACAACTCAGTCTTGCTCTCAGTCACTAGTTGGCTCGATTGCCAATTCAATTCTCACTGATGCACTTGCTCACTGACTCCTTCACCCACGGGCTCACCAACTCCCACATTGCTGGCGGTATTCATGCCCGCCACTCCACCCACTCGACCCACTTTCCGTCCTTTAGATATTTCACACACTCTGAACACTCTGGAATCATCTTCACCTGAACGGCAACCTCACTTATAGTTCTGCCTTCGCAAACACCACTCCCTCACTTCCCACTCCTGCTCTTTTCAATTTACTTGCTCCCACCATTCCCTCACCCACCCCGCTCATTCACCCCTGTCATTGAGTTCTTATCACCCACTCCATTCACGCACCCAACCCTTGACTTCCTCCGCTCACTCACTGACTCTACCACTCGCTCCGCGCTCTCAGCATGCACGTTGGCTTGCTCATACCATTGATTGGCCAATGACTCGCCCCACTCTCTTGTTGGTCGGGTGGTGACATTTGTGTCGCAAGCTGCAGCCGCGAATCACTTCTCCTGCCGCTGCGCCCCTCGAGTTGTCTGCCAGGCTGGTGGAGCGACGAGTGGAAGAAGATTCTGACGCTGGGCATCTATGAGCCTGAAGCTGAAGCTGATAACTTGATAATTCCTACACTGCGTACACTGCTACACTGCGTCAGTGTGTCCTGGGTGGCTGCTGGAGTGCTTGCTGCTGACTGACCAAGGCCTCCGGCAATTCACTGGGACTACGTCATGACAGCCCTGCCCTGAGTCTGAGAAAGCACGTAACGAAGAACGTATAGGGCATGTGCCTGCCTG